GGTTTTAGGGTTTAGGGGCTTTGGATTTAAGAGTCTGGGGGTTTAGGGTTTAGGGTTTAGGATTTGGGGTTTAGGGTATTACCGGCACTGTTCCTTTGGGTTCCTTGTAACAAACATATTATATTGCGCTCCGTAGCTTTATTCCGGTTAGTCAGGCCCTAAATTAAATAAGGTTACTAAACCCTCAACCCCTAAACCCTCGACCCTAAAACCCTGAATCCTAAACCCTAACCGCTAAACCCTAAACCCTTAACCCTTAAACCCTAAACCCTCAACCCCAAACCCTAAACCCTAAACCCCTAAACCCTCAACCCCAAACCCTCAAACCCTAGTCCCTCAACCTTAAAACGCCCTAAACCCTAAACCCTAAAGCCTAAACCCTACACCCCTAAACCCTAACCCCTGAACCCTTGAAGCATAAGCCTGAATCTGGGCTTGGTCAAGGAAACACTCTGCCCCAAACCCTATAGCACCCTATAGATCCCTTTATGAAGGAAGCCTTATGGATCCCTTTAAAGGAGCCCTAAACCCTATAGTACCCTATAGATGCTTCTATAAAGGAAGCCTTGTGGATCCATTTAAAGGAGCCCTAAACCCTATAGTACCCTATAGATCCGTTTAAAGGAAGCCTTATGGATCCTGCTAAAGGAGCCATAAACATCAAGGCTGCCTTCTCCCCTTGCAGGGCGATTGAAGTTCTTGGCCTTGGTGCCTTGTTTTCTGTTTTCGGGTTCAGGTTTTAAGGTTTAGGTTTAAGGGCTTATATTCTAATAGGGTTTAGGGTTTAGGCTTTAGGGTTGAAGGCTTATATATTGTATGGGGTTTAGGGTTTAGGCTGTAGGGCTGAGGCTCATAATATATATATATATATATAATATACACACATGTAGGGTTTTAGGGTTTAGGGTTCAGGGTGGAGGGGGACTTAGTAACTAGTTAGGATTTTAAGTAAGGTAGCTGTATTTACGGTTACATACAACTGCACTTCAGGTACTTCTAACTTTACTTACTAAAGGGCTCATATACACTATAATTATGGAAGTAGGTGCCCCCAAAATCATGATTAGGATGGTCGTTGGGGGCCGAACTCCGTAGTCGTAGTATCTTTGGACCCTCTGGGTAATTTAGTACGTGTGTATTTACGTGTAAGCATTACTATGTGGGTTTTGTTCGCGCGCTTTGGGCTTTGGGCTTCGTCAAGCCCCAAGCATCTGTTTTCCTGGGGCTCTTATGTAAAGCCCCATACAACTTACACATCCTCTTTGGTCGTTTCCTTGATCCATGGACACAGCTGGTGCAGTACAGAGACGACCTGCGTCAATGATACGTGGAGGCCACGAAACTTCGAGGACAAAGGCAGTGGACAAGTTCCGGGGTTTAGGGTACGGCTTTGGTGGCATGCCTTGCCAACAGCCTATGCAGCAGATGTGGGGTCAACCCAGCTACCAGTCCTGGTGCTAAGCCGTGTCCCTACTAGTGGATGACGTAGCAATGCTGGAGCCACCGATGTGGGCGAAAAGTTCATGAATCAGCATCGATGCAGTGTAGTTGCTGTACAGTGCAAAGGGCAGCCGAGCGCGTCATGCATCGATATGCATCGTGCCTGGAATTTCTTCTTGTCCCTAAACCCTAAACCCTAAACCCTAAACCCTAAACCCTAAACCCTAAACCCTAAAGGACAACTGCGGCCCTCCACAGGGACGAGACATCGGTGACCCAACCATTGGTGCAGGACGTGGAAGCGCCCACTGCTTGGACAGTCCGCATCACAGCGGAGCATGGCGGCGCGACAACATCTCACAACGCTGCCCTCTTCCTATATAGACGTCGAGCGACGAAATTCTCCTGACTGCCGCTTTGTTAGTGGGATTGCAACCTCGCTAAGGGTATAGGGTTTAGGAATCGTGTTCTCTCGCTGGTGCAGCTAAACCCTGACCGTCACACAACCTGCAAAACCGAACCATTCAACCCTGAACCCAAAATCGTAATGCCAGGAGGAAGACGTGCTGCTGCCTCCACTGATTTGCTTGCAGGCTAGAGAACGGTCAATGGCTTGGATTGACAGGTTTGTTTTTCAGTCAAAGCTGCGGAGTTGCCGTCGAGTTACCCAAACCCCCGGAGAATCTAAACAGTCGACCGTGATTTGAGAGTCATGGCACTTAGGGTTATGAGTAAGGTAACGAGAAGTTTTAGCTACTTATAACTCCAACCAAGGTACTATAACCTTGCTTGCTACAGTACGTTCCAAGAACCGCCAAGTAGTCTCGTAACCTCTGCACTCTTCATGGACTCCTTTCGCTCAGCATGTTCTGGATATTTCTCGCCGAGGCCAGCGTTACCCCCACAGGCTCCATATATATATATATATACAAACACAGTTATCTATACTTACATTAGAATGTATATGTGTGTGTGTGTATATATATATGTGTATAGATAGACACACACACAGACACACACACACACACCCACACATATATACATATATCATATATATATATATAGACATGTACATGTGTATACATGTGTGTACTTCTTCTTCCACCGCCGTAAGAGTCCTGACGCTGCGTCGCAGCTGGCAGCCTGACATGTCTGTACATATGTATATATATATATGTATGTATGTATGTATGTATGTATAGATATATGTGTACATGTATATACAGATATACCTGTATGTATATATATATATATACACATGTGTACATACATACATACATACATACATACATACATACATACATACATACATACATATGGCATATATATATATAGATATAGATATTCACACCTACAAATATACTGTATGCATGCATGCATGCATGCATGCAAACAGACATACATACATACCCACACACACATAGACACACTACAAGTATGGAGCTAGGTCCCAACACACCATCCGCAGTATGGTTTTGGGGGGCCTAAGTCCATATTTGGACCCTTTGGGACTGCTTCGATTCGAGGTCCTCTTCAAGGGGCTTCCTCAAAGGGTTGTGTAGTGGTACTATAGGGTTCTATAGGGGTGCTGAAGGGTTCCATAAGGGTTCTATAAAGGTTTTATAAGGGTACCAGCTGGCTTTATGGTCTATTGTGCGTTTGGGAACCTAAAACCAAAGAGGAAGATGCTTCGACCCTAAAGTACCGATCTAGAACCGCCGTTAAGTTCAAAGCAAAAGCTACACGGGTACGTGGAGCCTATAAAGCCGCATAGTCAGCATTTAAAGCCAATCCATTTCAGGATTGGCCCCTAAACCCTAAACCCTAAACCCTAAACCCTAAACCCTAAACCCTAAACCCTAAACCCTACAAGGAACCCTTGGAAAACCCTTAGGGTAGATCGCATGAGTCACGCAGGGTTTAGGGTTTAGGGTGTGTTTCTGCGATGTTTCCAGCATTGCCCAGCCATGGTCTGTGCAAGGCTTGCAGTCTTTTCGTGCTGCGCTGTGCTGGGCCAGTTGATCCCGGAAGCAGATGTGACGACAAATGATTCAGAGTTTGAACCCTCGCCTGCACCTGAAGGAGCTTGCGACGGTGGTGTTCTTCAACTTTCTGCACGTCGCTACGAAAAGCGTCTCACATTTATCAGGGACTGTTTGCTCGTGGGCGTTCCGGGCACAGTAATTGCTGCTCCTCTGGTTTTCCTCGAGAGTGGATGGCTGGATGGCACGCTGGTATTTGACCATGGTGACTATGCATGGAATGATCCGTGCATCACGGCAGGGGCAACGCTCAATATTTCGGGCGAGGTGGTCTTTCGGAATCTGGGTTCTTATTAAGGAACTTCTTTTCAGTTGCCGTAATCAGTAGGACTCTATAGTGAATACATGCAAGTAGCCGAGTCTCCATATTATACTAACTTGAAGCCAATTGGCCAAATCCCTGACAAGAATCCAGGAATTGCCGTTCAGGAACGCATGGTGGTGCGATCCACATCCTGAATGGGCACGGAGTCTGGTTTCAAGAATTTAGAGTTTAGAGTTAAGGTTTTAATTACCATCCTAAGGATCCATAGTACAGTTTCGTTTCCTTATTGTGGTAACTTAAGTTAAGTTCCTGAACAACTTAGAGGATCATGGGACTTTGTAACTCGGCTTCTAAATAAGGTAGCTATAGTTCTTTTCATTTACAGCTCCAGGTAAGGCGCTTGTAACCTTGCTTTTAAATTCCATGACCCTCCAAGAAGAGAGCCCCCTAAACCCTACACCCTAAACCCTAAACCCGAAAACCTAACCCCAAAACCCTAAACCCTAAACCCGAAACCCTAAACCCTAAACTAAAAAACCCCTAATAAACCCTAAGAGCCCAGGAGTGCAGGGTCACGGGCAAGTTACACAACACGAAGGCCGGCTCCATTTCGAGAACTGCAGCGCCGAGTTCGGCGGAGGCGCCATAGCAGCTGCTTAGTTCCCCAATACTCAACCTTTAAACTTTTTGGGTTCCTATCATTTAGTAGTAACCTGAAAGTTTAACCTTTACTTCGCTGGCTTATTGGAGAAGTAAGGCTGTGGAGGTGGAGTTACAGGGGCAGGAAGTAAACTTTTCAAATTGCAGATCGTCGATTGGCCGAGGTGGAGCAATCAAGGCTCAGCTAGTGCGTGTCACGGCTCAAAAGGTGACCTTCCAGCGCTGTGAGGCCCGATCGGGTGCGGCAATCTGGTCTGATGCTGGCTTGTGGTTACAGGGTTTGTCCACGCTCTTCGAGAAGTGCGACTGTTCGGACCAAAGAGGATACACTGCTGTGGTGAGAGCTGGATTCCGAGGGGTTGCGCTGCTGATGAACACGCAGATATCGACGTCATCGTGTTTTTTTGCGATCGATGCGCTTGGAGCTGCCTCTGTGTACATTCAACGGTGCTTTTTTGAATGGTTGAGAGCCGGAGCTATCCTTGCAGACTTCGCCATGGATGTTAGCATTCAGCATGCAGGCTCCCAGCACACAGCGATGTTCCTGAAAGCACACGCTGTGCAAACAGTGCGGCTTCAGGTCGTGAAGGTTTCTAGGCAGCTCTTTGGAGCATTTTATATTTTCCCTTATTAGTGGATCTTATTGACGACCCTAAACCCTAAGCCAAACCGCATAAGAACCTGAACCCTAAACCCTAAGCCCTAAACTCCATATGAACCCTAAGCCCTAAGCCCTGAACCCTAAACCCTAAGCCCTAAACTCCATATGAACCCTAAGCCCTAAGCCCTGAACCCGAAACCCGACAAACTCTCAACCTTAAACCCTACGCCGCCCTACGCCCTTCGAATGCCCTATAGATCTCTTTAACCCCTACCCCCAAAGGACTCATATTTTAAGGCTTGGGCCCAAAGACCCTATTATACAAGGCTTTTGCGCTATTTTGATGCTAAGGGTAAAGGAGGCCTTATAGATCCCTCTGAAGGAACCCGAAACGCTCAGCCCAAAAGCTTTGAAGGGCCAAGCCTCCAGGTGTTTTGCACCCCGCCTACTGGAACTCGATGCATCGACCTAGAGTTCTGGACTGACAGGCTCAGTGAACCTAAACCCTAAAGCCCAAAATGCAGAGGTTTAGGGTTTACGGTCTGGGGTTTGGAGCCAAAGCCCAACCTCAGAATTTTTTTGGGGGCTCTGTTAGGATTTAGGCTTGAGGGTTTGGGGGCCTTTCAGTTTTTTGGTGGCTCTCTTGGGGCTTAGGGTTTGGGAGTACTCCTGCTCGTCCTCCTACTGCTACTCCGACTGGGGGCATCCTGTGCCTTAGCAGCTCGGTTTAGGGTTTAGGATTTAGGGTTTCGGGTTTAGGATTTAGGGTTTAGGGTTTAGAGTTTGTAGCTTTACTTACTAAGTCCCATGATCCTCCAAGTAAGGCATCCTTATTCTAGAGTCAGATGGTTCAACTTTTTGGCTCGCTAAACCCTACACCTTAAACCCTGGACCCTAAACCCTAAAACCCAGACCCTAAAACCTAAACCCTAAAACCTAAACCCCAAACCCTAAACCCCTAAACTCTAAGCCTAAAGCCAAGCAGGTCCGAGATCCACTTTGACGACGTTCAGCTCTACCACAGAATCCTAGCATGTTCAGCAGTAATGTAGGGGCCTTAATGATTAAAATCGGGTTCCATTAAAAGGGCTCCTTAAAGGGTTCTATGAGGGATCTAGAATAGGACTCTATGGTATAGGGGCCTTAATATTCAGACTGGGGGTTTGGGGGCGTCTTATACTATAGTTACCCAAAGCCCTGTGCTAATTATTAAGGCCCCTACATTAGCCTTTTTATCAGTCTGCTTCTGGTTCCTACGGTTGATGATATAAATCCTGCATCACGCATAATAAGGAATATACCATAATTCCTTAGGTTAGGGTCCCTAAGGTAACGCTCGATTGGTATCATCAACACTAGTATCATATACGTAGTCGTAGACCCCTACCCTTCTTAAACTCCTTAAGCTAGTAGTACAGTAGGTACCCTTCAACCTTTTTGGGATACTAGATTCCCTATACATTTCCAATGAGGTGAACCTTGGGTTCCGCTAGGATACTGGACAAGCAAGGAATCGCGACCAACTTGGGCGGGGATTCCATGCGTGTGCACTATCCGGTAAGTGCCGTTATTCGGCAGCCAGCATCGGCCAATCTGATGAACTTGACCTGCTCCCCTGGCTCCTATCCTCAATTCAGTCTCAAAGAACAGGACCAGTGGGAAGTGAAGACGGTGCCAAAGCTAAAGACACGCATGGACTGCTCAACACTTGTCCCTGGTGGCTGCTGCATGCTTGTGGGCGGTCCTGGACACGTCCTGAACAACTCGGAGCACCAGAGGTTCAGGGCATCTAGGCTTCCCAGCAGTGCGCTGTTGCCCTGGGTTCCGTATTAAACCAAATATTATGACATGCAGGGAACAGGGTACTGGTACACATAAACGGGAAGCCCTGAAACGTTGTTGCAGGGCGTTTTATTTTCTTTATTAGCAATATTCCTGTTGCTGTTATTATTGTTCTTTCTCTTGTTCTTATTAGTGTTATTATTCTTATTCTTATTCGTATTATGATTATAGATCTTTTTCTTATATTTATTATCATAAGAAGGGGGCTACTGGAGAACCTAGGCATGCAGCACTGACTGGCCGTGTCTTTGCCTGGATGTTTTCTGCAACTCCTGTACCGTTCGAAGCCACATGAGAGTCTAGGTAGGCAACTTGGGTATTCGTTTTCAACGGGAGTCCTATTTCAGAATATTTTCAGAGGCTACCCTAAACCCCTAACCCCAAACCTTCCTAACCCTGAAAACGCCGAAAACCAAACCCAAGGAGAATTTCGTGCTACCTGCGCCCCCTGTGAATATGGAACTATGTCGCCAGTCTTTGTCCATATGCCGTGCCTAGGCCCGAAACGATGATTTGTTCGTTTAGGGCTCCTTATTGCACATGTGCGTTTTGAGTTTACGTCCTACAAAACAGCTACCTGAATAGTAGGTTACTTTTTTCTTATGTGCCACAGAAGCTTTTTTGTAGGTATATAATTGGAACCCTAGAGAAATGCGGATTCTTGGGTGTACAGGTTGGAGTTCAACCAGATTGCCTGGGGTGCAAGAACTTACGAACAATGGGCCTTCCATTCCTGCAACGACTGCACTCTTCTTGGACAGTCTGTCGACGCCACGATTTCGTGTGGGTGGGGCAAAATGCAGGTACCTCGCGGTGTCATGATTACTTTGCACCCTTTGTCAGTTCATGACGGTCGAACAGCGATGGTTGCCTGGCGTTGTCCAAACCCGTCCGCTTGTCCTGGTCGTGAGCACGTTCTCGCAATGACGGACGGGCTTGAGAAACAGTGTCGGAGCAGCAGAGGTAAGTCACCTTTGCCGCTTTGACTTTAAACCCTTAACCCCTATACTTGGGGGATCAGTGGACTTAGTAACTCAGGTTATAAGTACTTTCATAGGGTTCAGGAGCAATTATCGTGATTATAAATTATAAATGATTATAAAAACCCTCAACCCTAAACCCCAAACCCTATAGTTGCTAACTCCCATGGTCCTCTAAGTAGAAGCCGACGGTTTAACCCGTCATTCGCATAAGTCCTAAACCCTAAACCCTAAACCCTCGACCTTAAACCCCTAAACGCCAAGCCCTAAACCTATAAACCCTAAACCCTAAGCCAGGTGCGCTCCGGGGTATGCCGAATATCATGGCTGTGCGAAGCTGGGCTTGGGGTTTAAGGTTTGGGGTTTATAAGGGTTTCGGGTTCATAGGCTTGGGGTTTAGGGTTTAGGCCTTAGGCCTAGGCTTAGGGTCTAGGGTTTGGAAATTTCTTCAGGTACCATCATAACAATAAGGAAACCATAGATTTATATGTTTCTATATCTATCTATCTATCTATCTATCTATCTATCTATCTATCTATCTATACATAAACATGTATGCATATTTGCTACGGATATCTGTTGGTCAAATTCCTTGACAAGAACCCAGCAGGTGTGATCACGGCTACGGTAAGAAGGTCAATGACCCCTTTGTTTGTCAAGAGTGCCCCTGGGTCCTTGTTGGCTACAATTTTACATTTTTGTTATAACAAAACCCAATAAGGAATAGACATGATCATTGTTAATATAGCCCCAAC